CACAAATTTTCCTTTTAATTCGAAAAGTGAAATGTTATCATTGGCAATCACTGCATTTTATTCATCAGGTTGCACAAGTACATGAAATGTGTCTCACTCATGGGTTACAGTGAGATTGAATATGGCAGGCATGAGAGCTGGAGTTAGTATTGCACTGTCTTCTCCTCCACAGCGTTCTGTTCCCTCTGTACTTTGCACCCCTCTGTACTTTGCACCAGGACTGTATACCATTGACTCATGAAAAATATTACTAAAAATCACATAATGGTAAAAGTTTATGAACTAGTGATGCTGTATTATTAGTTGTCCCAAGCCGCATGTTGTCTATGGGTCACAGATTGTACATGCCTGCTCTAGAGCATGTTCCTTATGGGACAGTGGTTATGACAGCTGACATCTCTTTCATGTCCTCCACCTTCTCTCCCTCTTCAGCTTTCCTCCTCTGCTTGTTTTTCACCCTGGTCTTTTTGGATGTTCTGTGCCTCCCTTCCTTCTGCTCTCCCTGCCTCTCCACTAGTCTGTGTGGGATGCAGTGGTGGCTCCATCTACAGTTTTTGTGAGCAGTACTGCTTTAAATTAGACAAAGAGTTCTGGCCTTATGAAAAGCAGTGATTTAGCAACTCAAAAGCTAGTATTTCATTACAGTGCAACAACTCTGTATGTAGCAGTCTTAAATTCTTTGTCTTCCTGCCTGTGGCAGGGGGGTTGAAACTAGATGATCTTTGAGGTCCTTTTCAACCCAGGCCATTCTATGACTGTCCCAGTCACACTGTAGGAGTACAGGGGCTCTTGCTTGTTGCATGTACCAGCGTCTCTTTTCCTAATCTTTAAGACAGAAGAAGTTGTCAGCACTAGAGAACAAAGCAAGTGTTCACCAAAGCCTCATTGTTAGTGTGGAAATGCCAGTGATGGAAACAGCATGGTAGGGATTGGAGTAAAGTGTGTCTTCCAGCCAAACTCAAGTCAGCTACATTTTGCCATGTTTAAAACCATGCACTTGAAGTGTTTTCTCCCACTGCTTGTGGGATGTGAAAAAGTTAAGACTACGTTTTTTTTTTTCATGTTCCACTGTTTTAGCTGAAGCTTTAAAAATCATATTTAAAAATTTCTCCTTAATTTCTTCAACGGTTTCTGTTACACTGTGAGACTTTCAGAAATCGTTCCATACATTCATAGATTCATAGAATCACCAAGGTTGGAAAAGACTTACAAGCCATGCTGTAGAAATTGAGGCAGTTTCATCAAGTAAGTGGATTTATGTCCTAGCACAAAGGGAACCTGAGGTTTGAGCATTTTGCTGAATATTTATCTGTTATGCTCTGTATGTTATGGCTAATCTAACATAAGGTCAAAAAAGTAAATGAAGCTATGACATCTTTCCCACAGCACAGCAAGCTTTCTTTCCACTTTGTCTGAGGGATGCTCAGTTATGGCCTCAGGTTTTATCATGCCTGTTAATGCTTAAGCCATTTCATATCTACAAGAAAAGGCAATTTTCTGGCTTTGAATTCCCAGATTCTCAGAAGAAAAAGTGCTTATTTTCTTTCCTAGCATATTGAGCTACCAGAAGAGAAAAGGAGATAATGTTAAGACAATTATGAGTTGTTTGAAAGAGGGGACTGTCACACTAATTGCCTTTCACTGTTTGGATGCAACTAAAAGAGCATAAAGTCAAAAGGATTTCTTAACAGTAAAAGAGATTATAATAGAAGAGAAACTACCAATTACCCTGATGATTGGCTAATCTCACCCAGCTGCACAGAGCGAATTTGAAACCTGTAATTCTTTTGAAGGTGAGTATGGTGACAAAAAGTCATTCTCAGTGCACATCTATCCTAACTAATACCTACCCCCTATGATGATGATAGAGGCAGCCTAGCTTCTCCAGACTCTCACAGCTGGCATCTGCATCAGTCTTGTTGACAAAGACACTTCCTGGAGAGCATATGCTATGGGTTTTTTTTGTTTGTTTCTTTGTTTCTGTAGCTAGCAGTGTTCCCCGGGGGTGGGTTCTGGGTCTGACCATGTTCAATAACTTCATCATCCACTTGGATGAAGGGATAGAGACCACAGACAACCCTCTGCAAGTTTCCTGATGACACAAACCTGGGAGGAGTGACTGACACACCAGAAAACTGCAATTCAGCGAGACCTGGACGGGAAGCACAATTAGGCAGAGAAGACTTGATGAAGTTCAATGAAAGCAAGTGTACAATCCTACATCTGGGGAGGTATAATTGCATGCATCAGTATTGGTTAGGGCTGACCTGATGGAAAGGAGCTCTGTGGAGAACAGCCTAGGTGTCTTGGTGGATGACAGATTGGACATGAGCAAGTAGTGTGTCTTTGTAGCCAAGAATCATAGAATCATAGAATGGCTTGAGTTGGAAGGGACCTCAAGGATCATCAAGCTCCAAATCCCCTATTGTAGGCAAGGCCACCAACTTCTACATTTAATACTAGACCAGCCTGCCCAGGGCCCCATCCTACCTGGCCTTGAATACCTCCAGGGACAGGGCATCCACAACCTCTCTGGGCAGCCTGTTCCAGCACCTCACCACCCTCTTGGTAAAGAACTTCACCCTGATATCCAACCTAAATCTTTCCTGCTTCAACTTAAAACCATTTCCCCTTGTCCTGCTATTATCTACCCTTTCAAAGAGTTGACTCCCAAGAAGAAGGCCAACGATATCCTGGGACACATTAAAAAGAGCATGGCCAGGTTGAGGGAGGTGATCCTCCCCCTCTACTCTGCCCTTATGAGGCCACATCTGTGTCCAATTCCAGGCTCATCAGTTCAAAAAAGTCAGGGAACTACTGTAGAGAGTCCAGCGGAAGGCAACAAAGCTGATGAGGGGCTGGAACATCTCTCTGATGAGAAAATGCTGAGAGACCTGGGACTGTTGAGCAGGGAGAAGAGAAGACTGAGGGGTATCTTATCAATGCTTGTAAATATCTAAAAGATGACAGTCAAGTGGATGGGACCGAGCTCTTTTCAGCAGTGCCCAGTGACAGAACAAGAGTCAGTGGGCACAAACTAGAACAGAAGTTGAGAAGTTCCATATGTATGTGAGGAAAAATTATTTACTGTTAGAGTGACAGAGCACTGGCACAGGCTGCCCAGGGAGGCTGTGGAACATGCTTCTCTGGAGATATTAAAAACCAACCTGGATGCTTTCCTGTGTGACCTGCTAAGGGGAACTGCTTTAACATGGATTGTTGAACTAGATGGTCTCTAGAGGTTCCTTCCAACCCCAGTGATCCTGTGATTTATCTTCAGCACCCGTGTATCAAATAATACTAAAGCAGCTAGTTAAACTTCATGTTAATTAAGTAATAAAAATTTAGGTGGAACCTTACAAGGACCCTCAAATACATCTGGAGTCGCTGTATGTGAATATTTTTTGAAATACAATATGCTATACTAAACAAAATACATTTTTCCTTAATTACACAGATTTCTTCTAAATTATTTTATATTGAAGGATGGAAGGTGAGAATGTCACATGCCCCTTTAAAATTTAGATTAACAACAACAACAAAAGAATAAGAATTTCCTTACAAATTATAATTTTAATACAAAACAACACTCTTCTTGAATTGGTAATTCACTTCATGTAATTACATTTACACAGAAAAAAAAAAAAAGGGTAAATTCAAATATTCTTTTAAAAATCCATTTATTAAAAAAAAAAAAAAACAAAAAAGATCCAGCATACATAGACAGTAGTCAGTTTCAAAGTCAGTACTCATTAGTTTAAAAGCAAGAATCCAAAACAGCTGTTAACCACACATCCAAATTGCTTAGACTGGACAACTGTATATAAAATATTTTAAAGCCTGTTTTGAAGAACACCACCCTCGTAGAATCTAAATGTAAAAGAAGGATATTAAGAAAAGTTATTTTTTTGAAGTCTAGGTGTGAGAAAACTGATAATGACAGTGAGATATTAACATGTCAACAATGAATAAATACAAGAACTTAAAGTTCACCCCCACTAGAAATCTCATAGATCATTCTTTTTTTTTTTTTTTTGAAAAAGATATACAAGATTCAAATGTCAGAATTATAATGTCAGAACTGTTTATAATGTCAAGTGATGCTTGTTGCATACTTTTAGTATATCTTATTGATCAAACTAGAACCTGAGATAATTATAGATGATGGAGCATATTTCTTGTGCAAAGGGACATGGATTTGTAGTGAATTTAGATGAAAAGCTTTTTCATATGGAAGTTTTGTAACTGTTTATTTCAACCTGCATTAATCCATGCACTAATTATTTTGTCTTAAGTTGATGATTTTGAGAGCATTTAGTATTAGTGTCGTGGCACTGCCAGCCAAGGAGTACTTATGATATAGCTGTAGTGATTTGATATATCTTGTTGCAAACTTGAGAAAGAATCTATCCCAACAGAACCAGACAGAACTAGAAATTTTCACTTTTTAGACAACCCATACAATTACAATTACAATTGTCTATTAAAAAGAAAGGTTGAGTTGTTTTTAACTTGCTTTACTAAGAAAATCAGGCATCTGTGATCATGCCATCTACAAATCTCTTCTCTACACTCCTAACAACTACCACATTCAGAGATGATTGCAACCCAGTTTGAAAGAAGGTAGAAGTCTCAAAGAGACTAAATTGCTAAAAGCTTTCGCCCAAGTATCTGGGCAGGACAGACGTACCATAATTTGTACTCCCTGTCAAGGAAAGGCAGGAAGAATGCAGCTATTAAACAGCCTGTTTGGCAGAAGCCAGCAGTCCCACCAGTATGAACTAGTCATGATACTTCTTACCTTTTGTCTCATGCAGCCATGGCAAAAAGCCCAGTGAAAATGAATTGTTTTGCAAAGAAAGATATATGAGTGAATGGACACAAATCTCTGGAAACCAGATGATGTCTGTTCTAGTGCCTACAAAATCATTTGTTTTAACCATTCTTTGAAATTCTAATTTTACTCTACAAAGTAAACAAAATTTCATTCCAGTGCTTCTCTAAAGGTTAATTTGAAATAACAGTGGCTGAACCCTGCCAAAAGCATTAAAGCATCACATTATTGTAATTTACAGATGTAATAAAATCAAGAGTTGTAGATGGCTTGTTAAAGAGGATGCATATCTCTGGAATACTGAGCTTACTGAGGTATTTCCCCAAGAATCTGCTCTTATTTTGAGCGCTGATTAGAGCAAATGTTAAATTAATGCAAACTAGGCTTTATTTTTAATGGACCCAGATAGAAGCCAATCCTACCTATCACCACACTAAAATAGTAGGTTAATGAACCTACATTTGAAATAACAATTGTATTAATTCCATGTCTTCTAGAAAGGTTGCATTTTACAATATCGTTACTGTTTTATTGATTACCCTGAGGTGTTCATAGAAACCAAACAAATTATTTGTACTGCATCAAATATCTTTTCTATTACACATGGGTAAAAATTTGTGTTCTGTAGCTGCCAAGGTCATTAGCGAGAGAAAGAATAAAGAAATGGAAAGATGTGGAATCAAGAGTGAAAATTCCAAGGGAGATTTTTTCTTAGAGCTGGTGGATCAGTACTGTCTGGGCTGGTTTTGACAACATCAAGCTCTCTGAATGTAGGAAATATTATCTTCCCTGAGTCAACGACACAGATGCAACATCCATCACTGAATCCTTCAGATGCTGTGCCGCCTGCCGTTCTGTATGACTTTGATTACATTGGAAAGGTCGAAACTTTTTGTAATCAATTCCATTAGATCTTCGTCTCTTTCCACACCAGTGATAAACTCTTCTAAAGTCAGTTCCCCTAAAAGGAAATCAGATGCTCCTTAGGAACTAAGAAATGTAACAATCATTCTCAATGCAACACAAGGCCATTCAAGCTGAGTTGCATCCCTCAAAAATATTCTCTATTCTTCATTGCTGATATGCAAATATAGGAATAATATTTTTTAATACTTTCCTATTTTGCACCAAATTCCAGAATTCAGACTCACCTTTCTCTGCTAAAACAGATCAAAGACTGCTATGGCAGAATTCTAAGCCGACTATAATGCTTAGACTGAATTTAGCTGCACAGACCTATTCTTACCAAGGTAACTGGAGTTTATCTTATAGGTGGCTTTACCAGAGACTAAGGCATGATTTGCTGGGGATTACAAGGCATGGCCTCTGTGTTAACTATTAGGATTATCTAGAGCCAGAATAAGATGTAGTAAAAAATCTATTAAGTGGTTTGCTTAGAGAAATTATTCTAAGCAACTAAAATGGTCTTGGTTTTTTAGATTTCTTTTAGAAAGTGATTTTTTTTGGGTTCATGCTAGAATCGGGTAATACTTTGGAAGTTTCAAGACAACTACAAAACCACAAAGGTCAGTCCAAGGCATGTATATGCTGGCAAGGTACACTTGAGTGTACACAGTTCTCCGTTTAGAAGTTATTCCAGTGATGCTTTTTTTCTCTGAGAGGGGAAACAGAGCTTGGTTTAAAAGGAACACTGATTTTTTCCTCTGGGAATGTTTAAAGTTTTTATTAAAATCATAAAAATGAGTGATTTCTTACTGAAATAATAAATTACAAGAGGCCAGAAGAAGAGAAAACAGCTGGATGACTTAGTGCCTGTTCAGATATGTGGTACTGTCTGCACTGTAAGCAGGTTCATATGCACACTATTACAGTGAAAGGACCCCTTCTGATGCAAGTTTTGGCACTTAGGCTGCAGCAAGAGGAGTATCTGGTATTTCAAAGTAACAATACCAGAATGCAATTGTATAAAGAACACTGCAGTTACGGATGAAAAGTTACGCTAGCATGCCCAGGCTCACTGGGACTGTCACAAGCCTCAGATTTCCTTCACATAATGAAAATAAATTGGAAAGCCGTCAGGAGATTTGTTTTAGGAATTGCTCCCTGCAGCCATGAGATTATTTCTTGTATTTTAATGTGATGAAGGAGATCACAACTTATTTGTCTATTTACATTTTATTTTTATTTTATATAGCTGTATATTTAATAATCAGCTAAAAGATGATAGCGTAGTTTAAGATAAACTTGGAAATTTTTGTCTTATTCTTCATGTTGGTTTAATCCTGCTGCTTTGCAGCCATTTAAAAATAACTAGCTATGGAAAGCAGCTTGAAATAGGGGCATTATGAAGAGGATTCTGAATAATTCATGTTCTTGCATCCCATTGCTAAAATGTAAGACATACAAATTACTTTTTCAGTTAATTGTCTAGCTCAGATACAACTACTACTTGCAGTGAACAAATATCAACACAGAGGCCAAAGTAAAAATAATCATAGTTTTGAGGTTAAATTCTAGAATGTTGTTTGAAGTCCATTACTTGCCTTCACCCAAACAATGGTTCCAGTAGGTAGGCAAAAATGCTCTACCAATCATTGATATGCATCACAAGAGCATTATTCATGTTCTAATTATATACTGCAAACAGCTTTCTTAAAAAGAAGCTTTAGTACAAAAGTAAGACCCCCAAATAATGAACAACAGTATAAAAGCCTAAAATCCTGCCTGCATCTGATCTTGCTCAGCAATGTTTTCCTAATGTTCCTAATTTGTTAATGATTTCAGTAGATTCCAGTTGAAGGAGGATTTTCATGGTTAGAAATAGGAGGGAACATATTCACACGACACATCTTATGTTAAAAACAACTCCAAAGCAGTGAGTTAAATCTTTAGTTTCAAACTGCAAGTCCAATTGGCTTAATCTAACTCTCTTGAGAAGAAACAATAGCATGTGTCTTAGCATATGTTAACATTCAGATTCTGAAGAGACACTGAGTATGCTGTCCAATCTTTTTGAACATGGCATGTGCAACCTTGCATCTTGGTTTTCTTACTCAGTTTAGGCATGTTAAGACACACGTTTAGGCAGATTTTTGATCATGTTGGTTTTGCTGAGCAGCCAGAGGACTGGCATTTTGGATGAACAGTGCAAGACCTTCACGTTTTAGCTACTACAATACACAGTCCCTGTGCTAAGTTAATAGAGGCAGTTGATTTACATTTCACTGTAAAATTGAGAGAATATAGATTCAGGTTTTCAGTTCTTCAATTGTATGCTCAGCTTCCTTTCCGATCCCACACTCCCTCGTGGTGGGGTAAATACTGCCAATACCAAGAAAACCTAGATTCTTACCATCATTGTTCACGTCTATCTTCTGAAATATCATGTTAGTGAATTCTTCGGCAGTCATGTTGGTCTGTCCATTAATGGCCTGGATAGCCTGGAGACAGAAATGCAGAAAGTTTCAGACTTTTTTCCTTGAAGTCATGAAAACAATACACTGGCAACTGCAGTAATTGGGATGCAGCTCTTTAGTTCAACAGCCCTTCAAAAACACTAAATAAATTGCTATTTCAAGTAAATCTTCAGTAATGAGGATTGGAAATTTAATTAACATCACACAGCCTGAAGATTAGAGACTGCATTTACATATCTCTGAAGGTCTTCTGAAAGCATGTGACACCTCTGTTGTTCAATGCACTTGTTCAATCTACACCAGCACTTTTTTTTTCACCCAAGAGAGATCTCTGTGTTCAGGGAGTGCCCTATGATCTGTGTGATTTAAATATAGTATTATTTTTCACAGCTGAAAGCACTTGATGAGAAAGCCAAAGTTTATCTTTTATTAAAACATGTTTAACTTACTAATCACTAATAAAGTTAGAGTGGCAATCCTGGAAGTTGGCAGAATTCAGTTGTCCTCCAAAGAAATTTAAAAAAGAAGTCTCCCCTCTACTTTTTCTATGGCAAACGTATCCAAGAATAAAGATACAAATGAATACAGCAAAATTCTGTCCCATTCACTGAGGCAATCATTTTTGCATAATGCTGATTATTCTGGTCAATAAAATAGAAGCCTATATGTTAATAAATGGCAGTCCAGATGCAACAAGCACATACTGACAGAGCTGAACTCAAAATCAATATAATAATTATTTATTAAGTGTCTGGGAAAATAGATAAAAATATATATGTAAACACATGTATGTTCTATAACAGACATACTATAGACATTTTTAAAAATTGAATCATCTTGAAATGAACTGTACTGTATAGAACAAATACACCAGTCATTTCTTTTGGTATTCCTGATATTATTTTAGAAATCATCATGTTTCATTAAAATGTACGTTAAATGAGTTCAGCACTGATATGGAATTTCTGACCATCACTGTCTACCATAGTTTGTATGGAGTCCCCAGAAATGGCAAGAATTTTACAAAAAATAGGTACATAATCTTGTTTGTATTACTCATTCATACTTCAGGTACTCTTTGGTATATTATAAGTCTGACCCCAGTGCAGCCTTCATGCGGCTGTACCTCTGTCATAGTTAATTCTGTTGTAGCACTGAGAGTAAAGCAGTCATTCCTGATGTAGTTGAATCACTGACTATCACAGAACCCCTCTTAATAATAAAATAAATTAACCAGGCAGTTAAAAGAGTGCTGACAGGGTGCAAGGTGATCTGGGCAGAATTTTGATGGCTTATAATGCTCTCCTGGTCCAAAGTTCAAATAGCTGTAGGGACCAATAAAGTTTTAACTGGACTTCTTTGGTCTAAATTAGAGTCTCAGATCCAACATACCTTTTTGGATAAGCCTTTGTTTACTCATGCTCAGTATAAGCAGAGCTCTTAGTGGCTGTGAGCCTGCATTTTTATTTTTGTTTAGTGCCCGTCTATTTTAATCTAGCCTAAGTAAAATGACTTGTGCAGGTTTAAGTTCTTTTCTCCAAAGGAGAAGCAAACACCTGGAAGTTTGAATCATTTTAAAACATGTTAAGCAAAAAAAAAAAAAATCTTTACATTAAAATGATTTTAATTCTCTTTTCAGATAAAGCGCAAGACAAAGGCAGTTGCATCAATGCCTTCAAGTGAAAAATGATTGAGAATATCTACAATAGATAGATGACATTAGTCTTGGAAGAAATCTGGGCTGTGCAGACTCTCCTTTTGCCTTTAGAACACTATTCTTTAAAAGGCATGCATCAATTTCATTTGTTTCATCACAGAGCTAATTTGGCTCTGGCTCCTTCTATTTGGGTCAGTAGCTCTTGAAAGTGCCTAGCCAGGGACCAGCAGTAAGACAGAATTTGGCAAAAGTAAGTTCCTTGTTTATTATCACTTTAAATAACTATTTAGATTTTATGCTCCCTGCAGCAGAACCTTGATCTTCATATTTGCAAGAAACCCTATAATACTTTTCAGATGAAAGCAGCTCTGAAGTGCAAGAGTCATTCACTAGAGCAAGTTGAAAAATATGGAAAAAACATTTTACAGAAAAAAATTACCCTGCTTTGTTTTCATAGGTTTGAAATGGACCCATTATTCTGCAAAAAAAATCTACAATATTTGTATCGAAATGTCTGCTCACGATTTAATGACAAAATTTTTTTTTCCAATTTAATTAAAAAAAAGAGTAATGGGTTTTACAGTAAACAAATCTAAAAGCCTTTCAAAACGAATTAAAACAATGGAATGTTTTGATGACACCTATATTGTTTCCTGCATGAAGTTCAGTTGGAGAAGCCGTTTTTCCACAACAAACTGGCACAAACCCTTGTAACCATCTGTTTTATTCGTTATGCTACTTCAATTCTACCCTATCCTATGATACAGTTTATCAGGACAATGTTTCTACTGTTTCTACAGTTTTTCACTTTCGCTAAAGCAGCATACAGCTATAGAACTATGGTTTGAAGTAAAACAAACTACTGTTTACTTCAGTAAGGAAGAAGCTGGTCACCAGTGTTATTAGCTAGAATAATTTTGGCTTTACACCTAGTAAAATCCAACACACGTGGAACCACTGTTTCAGAGACAACACACTATGCCAGATGCAATTGCTATAGGTCATAATTTGCTTACCGCGAATATGCTCAACAGTTCTTTTTTGTCAATACATCCGTTTCCATCAGCATCATATAGCTTAAAATACCATTTCAATTTTTGGTCAATTTTTCCTCGTATAACCAAATTTATTGCCGCTATGAACTCCAAGAAGTCTATAAATCCATCCTAGGAGAGAGAGAGAGACGAAAAAAAACCAAACCTGTTTAACAACATTGGCTTTTTGCTCATTCTGGCAATTTCACAGAAACAGGTCATCGAATTCACTATAATATAAGCTGATTTATAAAGCACCTTAGCATAGAAATTTCCCCTGGCATTTAGAAAGGATGAGCTCAACTGGAAGCACTATAGGAAGGAGTGTTAGCACAGGCAGTTTTGTTCTCCCTGGAAAGCTGTGGGAGAAGCAGATCACAGCAGTTGTTTTTGACACTGTTTGAGAAGAAGAAAAAACAGGTTTGTGGTAGACTTCCACATAAGAAAAAGGGGAGTCTTAGATATCCAACTTCATACTGTTGAGATGTCTACTGTGGAGCTGCTTATATTCACTTGGGTACTGTTGAAATGTGGATGTTTTCCAGTGCAACAGAGCTGCTCCAGGTGTTATTAATCTAAGAGATCACGCAATAAATATTGTATATGGTAAACAATAACCCAGCATGAGTGATAGATACTGTAGTTTATTCATATAAGCATCAGGTCTCTCTGACCAATAAATTTCACATGGGATATAAAGCCTTCAAGTCATAAACAAGTTTCTGAACAGTGAGGATAGGGGGTAATCATAGGGAAGAAGCATTTCAGATTGATTTAATTCCATATGTTTTGCTTCCTTCTCTGATGTTACTGAAGGAAAGTTGTCAAGGACAAGACTCCATGGTCAAGTGGTCTAAGCTACTGTGACGATTTCTCTTTTTCTGTAAAAATCTAGTGAGGATGGAAGAAACAGTTGCTGAATTTGGAGACTACTAGCTCCAACTGTTTCCCATGTGCATATAAAAAGAATTAGCAGCTGGTAAATTTAATCTTGTGATCTTTATATTGGTCAGAATCCAACCACTTGGAAAACCTTGGAAAGACTGTCATCAGCTTTAGATGACTTGCGGCTGAGAAGATTGGATGAATATCCAGTAGGTTTAACATGTTACTTATTTTTATTGCCTTATATCAACACACATCTTGCCTTCTGAGGTTTTGCAATCAGCAGGCATTAGTCTGTTCTCCAGACTGCACTAAAGTAAAAGAAAAGAAGCTTTGTAAAGGTGTGTTGCGGCCCATTGCCATGTAGTGCTTGTTTTGATTTCTGTGCAAGGTGGTTTGGCACTGTAGTACCCAAGTTTCAAATACACCCGAGTCAATGTATACGTAGATAGACATTGCACATGCATAACTTTTGCAGGCTGAACATTGCTTCACAGACTCTCTGTGCAAGTTCTGCCATTATTGCTGTATTTACTTCAATTTTTATTACAGCAAATTCACTAAAGACAAAGGTATTTCTCAACCACAGTTTGGGCTGAAATGAAATTTAACAATAACTGCACGTAGTTTTCAAGCAAGATTAGGCCCATCTCTTTGGTAAAGAGATGCTTTACTAAAAAAATGACACAGTATGTACCACAAACTTTATGGTTCTTTCTGGAACACCAAATTGGATTTCAATTTTGGAAATACTATTTCAAAGAAATACTGTATCAGATACTTTACTGATTATACTTTACTGATTATACTTCCAACCCTAGATTTTATAGCTCTTCTAAGAATGTGATTAGGTGTATTTCACATTGCTGTCCCTTTATAGAATTTCATACTATTTAGTTAAATTACAGATTAATTTTAGGCTTGGTAGATATTCAGGCTCATTTTCTTTTTTCCTCCCTTACATTTCATTTTGGGTTTTGGAAAACAGTATTTAGTTTGTTTTCTTTTATGACTTTCAATTCTGTGGGTCTGACCAGCAACAGAATACCAGAAGTCTGGGAAATGTAACAGTAAGCTTAATATGGTGGGCTATAAACTTTTGCCTAGTGGGTCACTTGTCCTGTCCCAAGCTGGAAGGGACTAAAGAGAAAGGTTAGGAAAAAAAAAAACCCAACACAAAACAAAACAAAAAAAACCCCAAACCTAACAAATAAACAAACCAAAATTCTTCTGAAATACATCTGAGACAATGTGGTTTTTAGAGAAGCCCCAGTCACATGGAGCTGTGGACATACAAAGACTGTGAATACCATGCTAACCTCAAAAACACCAGGAATAGAAATACTAAGAAGTCCAACGTTTATCTGCACAGTATGGAACCAGAAGCACTGCACAGAGGCACTGATAAGAAATGTGCCGTTTCTCTTTTATCCACAAAAAACATACATTGTAGGTAGAAAAGAAAATACTTGCATGATCTGAAAGCTGTAGAAATCTTGTTAGACATCCAGAGTTTTCTCAGATAAAAAGAAATATTATGCTTTTTATAGTAGCATACAGGAGCCTCAGAATAGTGCATTAAATAATGGAAAAAGCATAACAGTAACCTATGAAGATCATCCTGTAGCTCTATGAGTACAATAAATAGTACAATAAATGTATTATGATGTTATTAAAAGAATACTGCAGTGCTGATTTACCCATCTGCTGCTCTGTAACGAATCACAATACACATGAGGTATGTCCTCACGTGTCTCTGGGCTCTGTAAAGCCTCATGCTGTGCAGCCACTTGCTAATGTATCTGTTGCTTATTAGGAAATCACTCAATCTCTAGAAAAGGGCTATCGTAAAAATAATAAATAATAATAAAAAGTTTAAAATAACAGAATAAACAGAGCTGTTTACTAGTGGAAGAAGATAGAAATAACTTTACTTCTTGTCTTTTACCATGATATTCCAAAGGGCTAAGTCATAATAATTTTTATTTAAAAGAGTTGGTGTTGGTGAAGCCTGCTGTTTTGCCATTTTAGGACACCAGAGGACTGATGGAGGTGTGTGTGAGAGTTGATTGCTCCTTCCTACTTTGGTGGTAGTGTGTTGCCCTTAATACCACAGGTGTCTGGAGTAATGGTGAATTCATACTCACTTCCCCACCTGCACACATGAAGACTGCTGGGATAAGCTCACAAGGTATGCTCTCAGGATACAGTGCTAAACGAGGAAAATCTCCTTCCCAAAAACAATTCTGAGAAAGAGGCTGCAGAGCCACCAAAAATGCCCCCTACACTTCTTTTATTTTTCCCTGAGTAAGACCTGCTCCTTGGCTTAACAAAAATAACTAACTAAATTTTTAGTCTTTAACAGCATGATCAGGTGAACTAGAAGGTTAAGGTCAGATCAGACCACGTGACTGTCGTGCACAGCAGTTCCTTTGGATGCTGTGTTTAAGTTACCTAGATCTCATTCACAGGTATTTTTGAAGTCCCTTGTAACAAGGTTTGATTCACAAAACAAGCCCAAGAGCAGACTCCTAAATTGGAAGGAGTATTTTTCGATTACATGACACAAATCCTCAGGTCCCTGCTCTCCCTGCCTGCACAGCCCACCGCCCCCAGGCCCCATGGAGCAGTGCAGGCCCTGCCTGCAAAATAGCCATCCTGGGCTTGCCCTGCCCTGTCCCGGAGAGCAATCTGGGCTACCAACTCCCCAGCAGGACTCTGGCACATTCACCCTCAGCCCCTACAGGGATGAGTTCTCTCTTTCTTTTCAAACACTTTCCAAGACCTGGATAGCACTCTGCACCCTCTGTACAAGCCCATGCTTCCAAGATGAACCTCACACCTGAAGGACATGCCTTGGACACCAAGCCTTTGGATTTTCTAAGTTAATTACAGCCATCAGTCCGTGTCAAGCAGGCATTTATGAAACAAGTCCTTCAGTATGGTGGAGATTTCACTAATTATCATAGAATCACAGAATGAATTGTAGAATGGCTTGGGCTGGAAGGGACCTCAAGGATCATCAAGTTTCAACACTTCTAGCACAGGCAGGGCTGCCTGCTGCTAGATCAAGTACTAGATCAGATTACCCAGGGCCCCATCCAACCTGGCCTTAAACAACTCCAGGGATGGGGAATCCACAGCCTCTCTGGTTAGCCTGTTCAGGAACCTCACCACTCTCACAGTAAAAAACTTCCCCAGGACATCTAATCTAAATCTCCCATCCTTTAGTTTAAAACCATTACTCCTTGTCCTATTACTATCTACCCATGTAAAAAGTTGATTTCCCTCCTGTTTATAAACTCCCTTTAAATTTTGGAAGGCCTCAGTGTGGTCTCCTCTCAGCCTTCTCTTTCCCAGGCTGAACAGGCCCAGTTCTTGTCTTCATAGACTGTCTTCATAGTAGAGGTTCTCCAGCCCTTGTATCATCTTAATAACCTCCTCTGGAGCCTCTCCAAAAGCTATGCACCTATAGAACCACTTCCTGTTGCTTTTAACATCCCTCACCAAGTCTAGTTCTACATCTCCTTTGGCTTTCCTAATCCTATCTGGACAGCATTCCTATATTCTTTCCAGGAGACATGCCCTCAATTCTACTGTGTGTACTTGCCCTTCTTTTCCCTCAGTTTGACCAGCAAATTCTTGCCTATCCATGCCAGTTTCCTGCCTCACCTACCTGCTTTCTTGTTCTGAGGGATGAAGAACTCTTGTACTCTCAAAGGCATCCTTAAAATGTAGTCAGCCTTGTTCCACTACTTTGTCTATAAGAACAACTTCCTGGGAGACTGCATCCAACAATTCCTTAAACAACTGGAAGTTTGCTCTTTGCCAGGCCCATGTTCCTCAAGATCACAGACTCAACAAGGGCATGGTCGCTGCAGCCCAGGCTGCCTCCAATCTTAATATCTCTAACAATCTTCTCTGCATTGATGAGCAAGTCCAGTAACAGTTCACCTCTGGTCAGGCTGTCCAATACTTGAACTAGAAAGTTATTATCAATGAACTCCGGGAGTCTCCTGGATTGCTTACGGCTTGCCATGTTGTCTTGTCAGTGGATATATGGGTAGTTGAAATCCCTAATCAGAATGAGAGTCTGTGAGCATGAAATTTCTTGTAGCTGATGCAGGAAGGCCTCATCAACAGGTTCATCTTGATCAGGTGGCCTGCAGTAGAGCCCAAACACCAGATGTCCTTTATTGGTCTCATCCCTAATTTTAACGCACATACTGTCTACCTGCTCATGACTG